AGAATACTCCCAAACTCATTTTATGAAGCAAGCATAACACTAATACCGAAACCAGGGAAAGACACCACTAAAAAGGAAAACTGAAGACCAATATCCCTCATGAACATGGATGCAAAAATCTTCATCAAGCACTGATGGCAAGGTTTAACAAGAGAGAAAATAACAAATACTGGTGGGGATGTAGAGAGATTGGAACTCTCATACACTGCTGGTGGGACTGCGAAGTGATGAAACCACTGGGGAAAGCAATATGGTGACTCCTTAGAAAGCTGGAATTAGAGATACCATTTGACCCAGCAATCCCATTACTAGGTATATGTCCTAGCGAGGTGAGAGCCAGGACAGGAACAGATATATGAACACCTATGTTCGTCGCGGTGCTATTTACAATAGCAAAAAGATGGAAACAACCTACGTGCCTATCAGTGGAAGAGTGGATGACCAAACTGTGGTATATACACATAATGGAATGCTATGCAGCACTAAAGAATAATGTACAGTCTGCAAAACACCACATAATATAGATGAACTTGGAGGACATTATACTGAGTGAAATAAGTCAATCACAGGATGAATATAGTATTAGTTTGTTGTTGTGGAGGGTCAAGGAAAGGTTTATATATGGAGGGAAACTTTCTTTGTTGGTTGCCAGGGGTGGAATAGGGAGGGAAGGGAACAGTGCAAAAGGAGATGCATTGGCCCATGTCACTTTAGTTTTGTGTATTTCACTGTACATAAATTATATTTCAATAAAATGCATTAAAAAAATCTTCAACAAAATCCTAGCCAACAGAATCCAACAACATATCAAAATAATAATAATAATAATAATACATCCTGACTAAGTGGGATTCATACCAGGTATACAAGTGTGGTTCAACATCAGAAAAACAATCAATGTAATCCACCACATAAACAAAACAGAAGAAAAGAACCATATGATTATATCAATTGATGCAGAAAAGGCATTTGATAAAATCCAACATCCACTCCTGTTCAGAATTCTCAGCAAAATAGGGATAGAAGGGAAATTATTCAACGTAATAAAGAGTATATATGCAAATCCAATGGCCAACATCATTATTAATGGAGAAAGACTCAAGTCATTCCCCTTACAAATGGGAACCAGACAGGGATGCCCTCTATTACCACTTCTTTTTAACATTGTTTTGGAAGTTCTTGCCAGGGAAATAAGGCAAGAAAGAGAAATAAAAGGCATACAAGTTGGCAAAGAGGAAGTAAAACTATCTCTATTTGTGGATGATATGATCCTGTACATAGAAAACCCAAGAGACTCAACAAAAAAATTACTGGAACTAATAGAGGTTCAGCAATGTGGCAGGATACAAGGTCAACATACAAAAATCAGTTGGATTCCTCTATACCAACAAAGAGTCCTCTGATAAAGAAATAAGGGAAACAATACCATTTACAATAGCTACTAAAAAGATAAAATATCTAGGAATAAACCTTACCAGAGACACTAAAGAGCTATACAAGGAAAACTGTAAAACACTGCTACAAGAGAAAACAAGTGCACTACATAAATGAAAGAAAGGCACTTGACTGCTAACCAGAAGGCTGGCAGTTCAAACCCACCAACCACTCCTCACAAGGAAGGTTGAGCAATCTACGTCCGTAGTGATACTTACTCGGACACCCAAGGAGGGCTCGCTATGAGTCGGGTCTGACTCAATGTCACATAACAACAACAACAACCTTGTTCATGGATAGGTAGACTGAATATTGTGAAAATGTCAATACTACCTAAAGCAATCTACACATTTAATGCAATCCCGATCCAGATACCAAAAAAATTTTTTAAGGACATGGAAAAACCAATAACTAACTTCATGTGGAAAGGAAAGAGACCTCAGGTAACTAGAGTACTTCTCAAGAAGAAAAACAAAGTGGGAGGTCTTACACTCCCAGATCTTAAAATCTACTATACAGCCACAGTTGTCAAAACAGCATGGTATTGGTACAGTGATAGACAGACAGACCAATGGAACAGAATTGAAAGTCCAGATATAGACCCATCCATTATGGACAGCTGATCTTTCTTTGACAAAGGTTCAAAACCCATTAAATGGGGGAAGAGACAGCCTCTTTAACAAATGGTGCTGGCAAAAGTGGATATCCACTTGCAGAGAAATGAAACAAGACCCATACCTCACCCCACGCACAAAAACAAACTCAAGCTGATCAAAAACTTAAATGTAAAACCCACAACTATAAAATTCATCAAAGATAAAATAGGGGCAAATCTGGGGGCCCTAATTTATGGCATAAATAGACTATCAAGCATAACCCAGAATACACAGGAGGTAGAAGAGAAGCTAGATGACTGGAACCTTTTAAAAATTGAATTCTTATGTGCATGAAAGGACTTCATCAAAAGGATGAAAAGAGAACCTACAGATTGGGAGAAAATATTTGCCTATGGAATATCTGATAAAGGACTTATCTCTCAAATCTGTGGAAAATTTCAACACCTCAACAACAAAAAGACAAACAACCCAATTCATAAATGGGCAAAAGACTTGAATAGACACTTCACCAAAGATGATATACTGGTAGGCAACAAACACATGAGAAATTGCTTGCCATCATTAGTCATTAGAGATATGCAAATCAAAACAATGATGGAATATCATCTCACCCCAGCAATACTAGCAAAGTTCAACAGGACAGAAAATAACAAATGCTAGCAAGGTTGTGGAGAGATTGGAACTCTTGTGCACTGCTAGTGGTATTGTAAAATGGTACAACCATTGTGGCATATGGTATGGCATTTCCTTAAACAACTGAAAATAGAAATACCATTTGACCCAGCAATTCCATTTCTAGGAATATATCCTAAAGAGGTGAGAGACAGCACACGAACAGACATAAGCACACCTATGTTCATTGCAGCACAATTCACTATAGCAAAGAGATAGAAACAACCTAAATGTCCATCAATGGATGAGTTGTTGTTGTTGTTATGTGCCATCAAGTCGGACCCAAGTCATAGAGACCCCTCCTTGGGTTTCTGAGGCAGTATCACTATGGAAGTAGATTGCCCCATCTTCCTTCTGAGAAGTGGCTGGTGAGTTTGAACCACCAGCCTTCTGGTTAGCAGTAAAGTGCCTTAGGCACTACGCTACCAGAGCTCCCTAGTGGGTGAGTGGATAACCAAATTATGGTACATGCACACAATGGAATACTATGCTACATTAAAGAACAATGAGAGATATGGGAATCAGCTCACAATGTGGCTGAGCCTGGAGGACATTATGCTGAGTGAAATAAGTCAATTGCAGAAGGACAAATACTGTATGAGCCCATTACTGTAAAAAGACAGAGAAGGGTTTGCTTGGGAAAGGGAACACACTTTGTAGGTTACCAGGGTGGGGAGGGCAGGGGAGGGATTAATTCTGGGCTCATTGGGGTCCACACGCTGATGTGGGTAAGGGAAGGGATGCATGGAAAGAGTCTGTGGCCACCATGATAACATTAGGAAATGGGAAGACACCGAATTGTGCACATAGGAGATAGACAACAGATGCTAATACCAACCAGTGTGCCCACAATACTGCATTACCATTGACACTAAACACCAGGCTACAGATAAACATGTAAACACCTGAGAGGATCAGATGGGGATCAGTGAACAGGAGTATACGCTAAACCAAGGAAAGATTCAGCTGAGGCTAATCTTGCACAGATATGAGTGATACAAAATACCTGCAATCCTTATAGAAACAATAGAAGACAGACACAGAGTAATCCCTCACAGACACCCAGACACTGTGGGAGAGAGATCCAATAGATCTACCATCTCAGGACCATAGTACTGGGGGACACCAGACTCACTTGGCACAACAAAATACATAAAAGCTTTGTTCCTCATCCTTCATTGGCAAGTAGCAACTGGGGTCTTAAAAGCTAAGGTGCAGCTAATAGTCTCCTATTGTCAAAAGGGAAGAAGAGTGCAAAAAGAAAACAACCAAGGGCATTTGGAAGCAATCAGCCCTAGGACACAATGGCCCTCAAGACCAGAAGAACTGGCTACCAATGTCACACTCAGGAAAGGATCAAATCTGGAGATCCTGGATATAGTGGGAGGAAAAACATGGAACAAACTCCAAAAACTCAACAATGACCAGAATTACTAGTCAGATGGAGTCTGGTGAGACCCCCAATACTATGGTCCTGGGATACATTCTGGGCCTAGAATAAAGCTCACCCCCAAGGGCTGGCTCTCAGCCCAATAGTAAACAAGATGTACATGCAGACCACTCAACCCAGGGTGATGCACCCACATACTCTATGGAAATGCGTCCCTTGGAGCAATCGACCACAGGGCATCAGAGGGGCAACAGTCACCTGGAGGGAATGCAGGACAAACAGAAGTGCATAACTATGATGGGCACGGGGAGGAGGGTTACTGGGCAGGGAGGGGAGGAGATTGAGATAGGGTTGGACATGGTAAATGGGGAGTGAAACTAAATGTACACGTAATGTAGAATGTAAAACAAACTTAAAATAAAAAATTAGAAACAAAACAAAATGAAACACATGATTTTTTAAAAAATTCTTTTGGGTTGTTCTAACCTAATCACGATCTATTTAAACATATTGGTGTCAGTCATATTCAAAAAGACAGACCTGTAACAAGTAAGAAACACTTCATTTATTTATGATCATTAAGTGTTTATTTTGGATTATAAGATGGGAGAGATGTTGAAAGGTACAATTTTATTCTTTTATAAGTTATGCGATAACATACTTAAAAAGAAAAAAGAAATAGAATAAAAGAGATCTTTCTATGAGTAAAAGTAAAATCAAAACAATCAATTACAATTTCAGCTATTAGGCTAACAATTGATTACTTGTAAAGTTTGGCAATATTAGAAATATTGGCACTTGATAGTTTTAATAAAGTTTGAAAAATTAGCAGCATGTAATATTGTTGCCCTATACTGTCCACAGCAGTGTTCTGATCATATATGTTTTCACTGGGATTTAGCTTTGCTTAATACATCCACATCAGCCTTGTCTGCCTCTCCAAGACTTTTTTGATTACTATCAACCAGGATGTTGTCTTCCTTTTTATGGGGTCTCTGGGACCCACCATCTCTGGGGGCGATAGGGGCTCCAAGGGCAATAAAATTGTGCACATCTTGCAGCTTCTTACGCAGCCACTCCACCCTTTCCATTGAGGTCAGATGTTTGCCCAGATTATGCATAAACTGTATTTCGCTCACAGATCTCTTCCTGAGAGTAAAAGAAACAGAGAGGGACACTATATTAGCCTCCCACTTCCAAGTCATAAAGCCCATTTTAAAAATCCAATCCCCATGCCCTTACCATGAGCACAGACTACAGTACTTACTTAACAGGTTTCCCTTCCAATTTTGTAAGAAAACAAATTGCAAACAAGACAACCATTATTTTAGCCATGCCTTTTGCAGACATCATCTCCACTAAAAGGAAAAGCAAACAGGGAGCATTTTAAAATATTTTTAATATTCCAAACTCTATAATTAAATTTACAGTAATTTACATCTATAACATACAATGCAAAGTGTGACAATAAACTAATTGGTTTTCACAAGAAGCTGTTGAAATCTGCCTCTTTGTTTTGCAGATGCATTAGTATATTATATATACACATAATTTGACTCAGCAATTAAATAAATCAGTTCTACTTTCTTAGGCAATTTTTCTGAGAGTTCTTTTGCAAGTTTTAATATATGAATTAGAAGGCACATGGGGAATGCTTTTTGGAATTTCCTTCCACATTTTATGTAGTTCATAACTAAATGCTTATAATTTTCTTGAAAATGATTAATTCTTTAATTAGGTAAATTGTTAACACTATTTAGCAAATCCTTTTTCCATAAGCAAACTTCATTTTGGACACTGCAATAAGTACCGTGAATACATAATTAATAGGCTCTGAGTTAAAGAGATTTTCACTGAGTTAATGCACAGTTTTCAACCTACAAAAATAATATGTCAAAACATTTAAAAATCATTTAATAAATTAATTACTATATGGATTTAGAGTTTTGGCTCCAAATAAAATGTTTGTCTGTATCTTATTTTTGCAACTTATTTTATCAACAATTAAAAAAAAAAAAAAACCCACTGCCAACAAGTCGATTCCGACTCATAGAAACCTCCACTGGGTTTCCAAGGCTATGAATTTTTACGGAAGTAGATTACCTCATTTTCTTCCCAACAAGCAGTTGGTAGATTTGAACCGCTGACCTTCTGGTTAGCAGCCAAATGTATTACTCACTACACCACCAGAGCTCCTTTATTAGCAATTAGGTTTTAACATAATTTTCAGCTCTTTCCTCTTTTGTTCATACAGCTTTTCATATCAATATAGAATTTTCTTACCTTAATCTGCATTACAATAATTGCAAAGCCCGTTATTACAGAAATGCTTTGTCTTAATGCTCAGTATTTTCCCTTTTACATACATATAGAGTGGCTGTGTACTCACATTTTAAAGGGAAACTGCATCATTTAGAAGAGCATAAGAAACATGATCTGCTACATTTCTTTTCATTGTGCAATATAAAGCTATTGATGGAGCAACACATAAATATTTTCTAGTTTTGGGTAATGTCAGAAATAGGCACTGTAACTGGAGGACAAGAGCATGGTGTTTATTCCTAGATTTGTCCCATTCATCTAGTGACCTCAGATGCCTCTGCTTGGCTTCCTTGTTCTTAATAGGGAGATGAGCTTCTTATAAGAATATCATGAAAAAAAAAAAAAAAAACCTGAAAAATAGTTGTAAAACTCCCTTAAAATTCATGCACACGTTTTCAAAATTAAAAACTAGAAAAAGACTGTCATCTAGGTAAAGAGGATTCACAAATACTCAGCAAACAGATAGTTTAATATAGAGAATGGGCTCTTTATGAGCCATAAAATAAATAATCTAGATATGATATTCTGCAGGTAAAAAAGGAATTCTAACTCCAACTTAGGAAAGTTATATTGGTTATTTAAATCAGAATTATCCATTAATCATTGTTGTTGTTGTTATGTGCCATCGAGTCAGACCCAACTCATAGCGACCCCTCCTTGGTTTTCCGAGGCAGCATCACTACGGAAGTAGATTGCCCCATCTTCCTTCTGAGGAGTGGCTGATGGGTTTGAACCGCCAGCCTTCTGGTTAGCAGTCAAGTGCCTGAGGCACTATGCTACCAGAGCTCCTAGTGACCCTATGTTGTTGTTTTTATGTGCTGTCGAGTCAGACCCGACTCATAGCGACCCCCTCCTTGGGTTGCCGAGGCAGTATCATTACGGAAGTAGATTGCACCATCTTCCTTCCGAGGAGTGGCTGGTGGGTTTGAACCACCAGTCTTCTGGTTAGCAGTCAAGTGCCTTAGGCACTATGCTACCAGAGCTCCTCCATTAATCATTAGGCTGTTTTATTTCAAAATTTCAATAAAGATTCTGCTAAAGCATATAATGCCTAGTTTGAATCATTTTGCCATAATTTCAGGTGCATTTTAAAAAGAAAGGCATCTCAAAGGCTTCAATCACAAAAATGAAGACTTACTTTTGCTTTACTGGCGTTAGTTTATTTTATATTCAGACTCATAGAGACCCCATTGGGTTTCCAAGGCAGTAAATCTTTACAGAAGTAGATTGCCCCATCTTCTCTCTATGGAGCAGTTGGTGGCTTTGAACCACTAACCTTCCAGTTAGCAGGCAAATGCCTTAGGCACTGTGCCACCAAGGCTCTACTGTGGCCTTTTATATTAAAGATAATTCAACTCCCCCTAAACATTTTACCTTGGACAGCACAATACTTGTAGAAAAATGGTACAGATTAAGTAATTGGTTGATTATCAAGCATTTCCTACAAATTTTAACAGAGAAAGTAAAGATTACTCACCACCCAATGTCCTAGGACAAGATCCTCCTTCAGGTGTATTAGCAGCTAATGCTTGCTTAGTGTTGAGTACACCTGAGAACACTCATGAATTGGATTGCAGACCCTTAAATGTGATTTATATATATACAGGTTTTGCACTCACCAAGAGAACCTTTTTTATTGTAACAGACGATGTCACTCCCATTTCTCTGGATGGCAACTATAGGATCAGAGCTGCACACACCCACCTATTGGGTGGTGCCCACTCCTCTGAAGTTTTAGGTAATTGGATATTGAAAGAAAAATAGTGTGGGGCCGGGAAAAGGATGTGTGGAAAGATTCCTAACAAGTATTAAATTGTATGACCAGCAAAAGAATATTCTGACTGGATTGTAATTTAAAAAATGCTGATTACAAAGATTTATGATAAAGTCATCATTTCACTTGAAAGTAAAATCTGAAAATAAGATATATATATATTATAACCATACTGTTGGTACAATTATGAGAATTATAATGAATTGTATAACTTACTTTTCTGTATAAACCATTTCAACTTGTCCATATCATTCTTGTCCTTCTCCCCCCCCCAAAAAAAAACCAGATACAGTATTTTCTTAAAGGCACTGTCCAAAATAATTTGATAAAATATTATTAGTATATTAGTATACAATTATTTTTAAAAGCTTCAAAAGTGAAAATGATTTTAAACTTCATTTAATTTACATTTTATTTATACATTGTACTCTGTAATAATAATATTTGGTCAGGACTAGTTGTATGCTAGAATTTACTTACATTATGAGGGCACAGCAGTTGCATTTGACTGCTAACAGAAAGGTCACAGTTCAAACCCTCTAGCCATGGGAGAAAGATGTGTCAGTCTGCTTCTGTAAAGATTTACAGCCTTGGAAATATATGGGGCAGTTGGACTCTATCCTGCAGTCACTGAGAGTCAGAATCGACTCAGTGGTAATGTGGTTTTTTTTGGTGGTTTGGTGGCAAAATGATCCTATTCCATAAAGGAGACCTGGATTTGATTTCCTGGCCAGTACACCTCAAGCACAGCCACTACCTTTTGCCTATAGAAGCTTTCATGTTGCTAAGATGCTAAACAGGTTTCAGCAGAGCTTCCAGACTAAGATAGATTAAGCAGAAAGGCCTGGCAGTCTATTTCAAAATAAGTCAGTCAGTGAAAACCCTATGGGTCACAGCAGTTCTATCTTGTGTAAGGGGTTGCCATGAGTTTGGGGCTGACTCTGCAGCAGCTAACAACATTATATATTATCCCATCAAGTTTTTAGAGGGGAGTCCCTGAGTGGTAAAAACACTTAAAATGCTAGCCTGCTAACTGAAAAGTTGGGAAAGTGGAGAAGTAGAATTCATCATAGATCTTTATGATTCCAGAGCCATATTGGTTCTTTACCCTAGAAATGGAGCCCTTTATGGAGCCCTAGACTTCTTGACTAATTTGCGTAACTCTTTGTAACCTCTTTGCCCAGGGGTTTGATCTTGACCAGCATGTTCCCCAGCTGATTACTGGGGCCCTATTTCAAAATTTAATGGAGGTGTAATGCTGCCACCTGTCTGACTTTAAATATTACTGTAGTCTGGCCCCCACCTATCAGATCAAAACATCGAGGGCTCATTTAGGTGACTTGTCTCCCAACTAAAGAGCCATCCCCAGGACTGACTCAGTTCTCTTAGCCCTGGTCCTATCCAGGTCTCATGTCATCCCTTTTCCTAATAGTCATTGCCAAGGTTTGATTTTATATCAAGTAAGAGCTAGTCTGAGTTTGGACAATACCTGTATGGAGTCTAAAATGAAAGCTACATGTTAGGCCTGCTCTGGGAAATTTTCTACAGTGGGCAAACCCCACTTAGAGTATTAACCCAAGTTCCAGATCTTAGAAGTATTAGAGAGAAACTGGAATGTGTCTAAAGGTTATAAACCAGGTTAGTTAAAATGTTGAAAATCGTAACTTGAGAATCAGTTGAATGAAATGATAAGGTTTTGTCTGAAAATGATAGGATGGTTGTAATAGCTGTTTTTAATTATTCATAGGGCTGTCATAGGGAAGGCAGTCATGGTGGCGCACTGGTCAAGAACTCAGCTGCTAACCAAAACGTTGGTGATTTGAACCCACCAGCTGCCCCACAGGAGAAAGATGTGGCAAGCTGCTTCCTTAGAGAATAGAGCCTTGGAGACCTTATGGGGCAGTTTTACTCCATGCTATAGGGTCACTAGGGAGCTCTGGTAGCATAGTGCCTAAGGCACTTGACTGCTAACCAGAAGGCTGGTGGTTCAA